CAAACAGGCCTACAGCAGTTTCCGCCTCCATCGAAAATGCAGCCTCCGCAGCCGCGATTCGATCCCGTGACCTTTGGGTTAGCAGCGGAGTACCTTAGCCACTAGACCACCATGGTGGGGCGTGACAGCGATGAGGTGGAGCCTCAGACTGATATCATCGACTAGCTTGCTGCAGTCTCAAGGTCACCTCCGCTCGTTTCCAAGTGTAAAGGTTATTGTGAAATGAACAGGAGCTCCCCATTGATCGGCGCGGGTGCTGCCTGGTTTATGAACACATCTTTAGCGATAGAGACTTATATCGTTAGGGGCATTATACTGTCCGTAATTATATCAACAAAGATGCCGAGTAACTCGGCACATCACAACATTTGATAACGGCGGCGCCCACTCTTACAGCCGGTAAAGAATTTTCTTGAATATACACGAATTGCAGGCGAACGTTTGCACGCTTCAAATAGTGCAACAAGGATGTCGATGAGGATGACGTCAAGGGACAGCGGGACGTGTACATCTCGCTTACTGCTGATTCTCTTCACTCGCGCTACAACATCCCAGCCACTCACAGGCAGTGCGGGCGGCTACCTCCCACTAATCTATCAAGGGGGGGGGGGGGCAAAGCCTGCTCGATATCATTACTAAGTCGGCCTTCTGTAGAATTGCAATGTTAGCTTCCTATCTTTACTCCCCGAGAGCGGCGTACGAAAGACCATTATAAGCAGCAAGTCGTCTCTTGATTTTTTTTCCTTCATTGTGAATCATGCGTTTCGGACTCTACGACAGGCGGAGGGGAGGAGGTGCTATGCTCAGTCATTGCCATCCCCACAGCGACTTCTCCACCCGCCTATTCAGCTGACTCAGCTCCGTCTGTTGAGCATACTGTATAACATTATTTACGCCTAGTGGGAGCACACTGGTCAGAGAGCACTTTTTTTCGTGTCCTCATTTTAGTTTTTGTTCGTACATACGTCCTAATTCACACCTAGACGAAGACGTCGAGAAAAAACTCATTTTGCTTTATAGTAAACATTCAACGAGAACCATCAGCTCGTTCGTTGTGATGCTTAGGCGCGAATTGATAATCTGTAAGTGTTTCACGTAAAGCAGTGCGATTTCACGTGCTCTGTGTTAGGCTTAGCACGCATAGAGATATCGTGCGGGTGTCCGGTTCATACCACAGTAGAAGAAAACCGGGTATATTTCCGACACCATGGTCTATATTCTCTACATCGTTTTACAGCAGAGCTTTTCAACTTTCCGTTCAGCATGATGAACCAGCACGCGCTCGCATTGCCCTCCGCATCTTTTGCTTCCGTCCCAGAAAACGTGTGCGGATTTGTCCCGCGTGGGATGCATTAACTGGTGGGCAATAGAACGAGTGCAGAGAATGTAAGACGAAGTAAAAAAAGAAATGAAGAAAAAGGCAGAAAAGACTGAAAAATTATAGAAGCTGAGAGAAGGACTACAAATAAAGAAAGAGAAAACAGAAAAAAGAAAGAAAGAAGGAAAGAAAGAAAGAAGAAAAGAAAGAAAGAAAGAAAGAAAGAAAGAAAGAAAGAAACAAAGAAAGAAAGAAAGAAAGAAAGAAAGAGAGAGAATTGGGTATATTTCTCGGTCATAAAAATTGCTGTAATACGAAAGTAAATCGTGTGCTTACAGATATAGTTGAATGTTACCGTGCATAGATACAAGAGCTCGGACAACGCCTATCAGTGTTTGGTAGCTGTAGAAGCTTTTTAAATTTTTATAACAATTACTAACGTTTATGATCATTGAATAAAACTATTTGGGTAGCTGTAGTAGTTCACGGTGAAGGCGTAATATGAATAAGTGGTGAAGAACATCGCTGACTTGACGCAGGACTTGGGGCTACGGTCTCCATCCTGCGGCATGTTCAAGATCTATTGAACACCACGGCCGAAATCTAGGGGAACGCAACATGCGTCATGTGTCCTCTAAGCCCAGATGATATCTTTCTCGTAGCAAGCGCAAGCAAGAAACGTCATGCTACAGCCGAAGCCATTTTCTATATGGATGGATGCTATGAGCGAAGCCAACCCATTATTCAGGGACTTTACGTTGAGTGAATAAATGGATGGATGCTACCAGCATCCCTTTTATAATGGTGACAAGTGTGCCACCAGGCTCGAAGAAAAAAAAGTTAGCCTCATGCATTGTCTACTTCGAATGAATCTATCACTATAGGGAAACAAAACGCAATTTTACAGCCCAGTTTAGTGAAACTGTTACGCGTCGGCCTAGTCAGGGACCTTTTCTCTCCTCTAACTTTTCTTCCCCCTCTCGCTTACCCCAGTGCAGGGTAGCCTACCGAGGCACAGCCCTGGTTAACCTCCCTGCCTTTCTCTTTGTGTTCTCTCTATACAGCCCAATTTTCTGCCCCCTAGAGCAGATTGTTCTTATACCCCCCCCCCCCCTTACTTTGTCGTTTCTCTTTAGGTTTCTGTGATTAATACTCTAACCACCTTTTATTCCTATCGTGGGTGTGTTCAGCTTTCGAAGCTTTGTAGAGGCTCGTGTTTAAACGTACATTTTCGTGGATATCTTTCCGTCCAGTTTGTATATGCCCCGTAAATTTTGTACCTTCCCCGCAGCATGTGAACTATTCTTTACCAAATCTCACTCTATAATACGCACTCTAAGAAGACCCAATCTCGTTTCAGACAGTAAAGCACTTCCCTTGAATTATCACAAGATGCCTCTATTATTTCGCTTTTGACCTTTCGATAGTTACTCCAAGTCGTTTTTTTTCATTGCTTGCATCCAGTGATCTCCACCTTACTCTGATCTCTCGCCTCCAAACTTGTCCATACCATATCGCCCTGTATGGTTTCCTTGTCGCCTACCTATGAGCGCTGCCCGCGAAGCGTCCCACAGTTACTTGATTCACATCCACATCTGATTGAACCTTGCACCTCACCTTGCGCACCGCTATGTTCTCAAATGTAAACCCCGAAGCCACTACCTCTTTCCACAGACCTCGAAGCACCTCGTACCTTTTGTATCCTCCTAAAGCTCTGCTTTACTACTCTTATCTTTTGAATTTGTTGTCAAAGTTTTACCCTATACCTCCCTGTGCCTATCGCCCTGATTTAACCAAACTCCGAGGTACTTGTATTTGAATAGCCTCGGTATTTTTAGGCCTGTATGGGCACTACCTGATCATTGGGGGCACTGGATGCCATCAATATACATTTTGTTGCTCCTAACACTAGACCTACAGCTTCACGTCAAGTTCCGCATGTATACTTAAGCTGATGTATAGGATCAATTCTCCACAAAATAAGACAATATCACCAGCAGAAAATAAACCAGGAAAGTAATCACACCACCCTGTTTGTGTGACAGATGAAAGGCCATGTTGCAACATTCTAGCGAATTTTCTATCACTCACCATGTACAGCATGAGTAACAGCGGGAACAAAGAATATCCCTCTCTCAACCCCTTTGTAATCTCTCCATTTTCTTTGTAACTCGTTCCTTCTCCCAAACTGAACTTATTTCCTGGTATCTTCCTGAAGAGCTGTACGGAATTGTCGGTTACGATGCTTGGGTAAAGGTCACCACCAGGTAATGTGTTCAGGCATTGACAAAACTGCAATTTTCGTATTAGAAACGTTTCGAATGGAACGAATGCGTAGCAGCGACGCGTTGCAAGAGGTAGTCGCAGAGGCCATGTTCGTGAAGCGTTACTTTATTTAGAATTCTTAGAGGACTTCTTGTCCCCTTCTCTAATCCCCCAGTGTAGGGTAGCCAACCGGATGCCTTTCTGGTTAACCTCCCTGCCTTCTCCCTTTTTGTTGCTTCCTCCTTCCTTAGAGGACGACACTAGCCTGCCGACAAAGACCACTGCGCAAGTAGGTGTTTATAAACGTTTGTAAAGTGGCCAGAGAGTGACAATGACGCAGTATTTATATGAAGATCAGCGGGGGAATGGTGTAGTCATACTGATATTTTTCGTCGTGTTCGGTACGGTGTTTTCAATCTGTCATAACTGTTTCTAAGGCAAGTCGTTAGCTGTTTTATGTTTCTGCGAGACAGAAGAGGTCCGTTTTTACATGCAGTTATTCAACCGAGGCTTAGAAAATGTTTACATTCACTCGTTGTACCCGCGGACCACGTGCATGGTGCACTTCATGGTTAAGGTTGTTGGCACATGGTATTTTAAGGCACGTTTTTCTAGCGAGTATCTAGCCCGTGCAGAATGAAAAAATGTATAAAGACCTTGTGGACCTATTTTTACCGGTGCCACTTTACAGAAATCAGTATTCGGCTGGATATGGGCAAAATTTACTGGCAAGAGTAAAAATTGGCTGTACCATCTAGCTCAAAATCCTTCTCTTATAAGCTTGTTTCTTCGGTCGCAAACCTGAAACCATCGAACACGTCTTTCTAGATTGTTGGGAAGGAGTGCTTGTTCGGGAAATTCTACAAATAACTATCAAAAAAGGTCTACGGGCAGATACCCACGAGACCAAGCCTTTGCCTGTTAATGAAGAAAATGACGGAGTGCCTTAAGATGCGATTGTGTGGCTTGGCCTTTGTTTTATTTGAAAAAAAATACATGCCAGTCCGTGATGCCAATATCAATAAACTGCGTATTCATGAACATTTTCACCGAGTAATCTCGAACTTTGTTGAAGATACTAAAATTAGTGACCAAGCACTAGAGTGGTTAGGGAAACTTGAGACACTATACTGCTAGACTGTACTGCTTCTTGCCTCTGTCCCCACAATTATGTACTGTATTGTTACCGGATGGTGTGCAAGTGAAAGTAAAAAGAAAAGACTGCGGCGCAGCGGATAGCGTTACCAGCATCTCCTGTCGCGGAGGGAGAGGTTATGGGTCCGACACCCGTTGACGGAACTTTCTTTGCCATCAGATCATGCGCATTTCTCAAAGTCATTTCCGTGACGGAAATGCGTCACTGAAGTCTTGCTACAATTACTTCAAATGCATTCTTTTCAATGCGCACACATCTTACCGCTCAGCAAGACGGACAGGGAGCCATCCTGATGTCCCAGGGCCAGCTTTCCTGAAGAGTGCCAAGTCATCTGAGTGATGGCACTCTGAAACTGCGCCGCCTCGCGCCACGGCTCTCGGGGGCCTTCGGGCACGGACCAGGAGTGGAGCGGGCCCCTACCGGACACGTAGGCGATCGTGTCGAGAGCGTCGGGTCGCCACGCGAGCAGCAGCGGCAGGCACAGGGGTTCACGGAGCGTCGCGATCAGCGTCCGTTGGCCGATGTCCCACACGCACAGCAGAGGGTCCAAGCCGCCGCTCGCGATCCAATCCTCGCGCGTTGGGTGCCAGTCGATGGCCGTCACGGTGCGTTTGTGCTCGGCCATGATGGCGAGCAGCTTGAACTCGCCATTGGACTCGTCCATCTGCGAGCAACGGACACCGTCTCTACAGCCAGAAACAACATTGTTTTGCAGTTACGCGCAGCTCTGATGCTGGTTTACACCAGTCACGCCAGTGAGTCACCAGTGAGTCGTGCTATGTTGGTCGCAGATATTCGGATCTCGGAAACACATGTATGAAAACTACGCCGGGAAGCAACTTGTCGATTTTCACCCAAAACAAACAGCTCTAGACTAGTCGCTCACTCGTTTACATTGCCATCGTGCGAGCGGAAAGCAAGTAGCTAAGCAAAGCTGCTCCATTTTTTGACACGAGTTAGCCGCTTCCTATTGCACTCACCTGCAAGTACAATAAAATGACAAGAACATGAATTGCGAAACCACGTTCATTAATGTAAATGACCTTTCCTGCGGCCGTACTAAGTTGAGTGAACACAGAAGTCAGGATACACTAAATTTGAGGAGTACCTATAGCTGCAACCAGTGCGAGCCATCTTTTCTGACCGTCAGATTAATTGCAATTATTTACAAGAAACACAGGGGAGAGACTATTCTCGCAAACAATGAGAAAAAAAGAAGAACACGATTCAGCTTGGGAAATATTTTACCTCGTAGATGTAAACAGCCAGGGTAGCTGCGTAGGCGAAACGATGGCCGCTGAAGCTTGCCACGTTGACGTGCCATGTCTGGCATCCGGCAGGAATTAGGCCAACCTGGCGTACGCCCACATTCATGTTTGGCGAGCGCTTCCAAACTGCTACAGGAAGGGAATCATGGGAGCCTGGAGATAAAGACATGACGTCTCTCAAGATACGACAACTCATAATTGGCACACTTCTGATCTGATACACGTGCCCGGTTATTAATTTCGTCCCGTCACCCTATTCGTGTAGGCGAGGAGATTTGCTGCTTGGATTATCACGATAAACAAGTGACGTCATTCAATACTGCGAAACGTCACCGTAACGTTGCGTAACAGTTGGGGCGTTACGTGCAAAAACCACGACATAATTACGAGGGACGCCGTAGTGGTGTGCTCCAGAAATTTCACCCACTTGGGGTGATTTAACGTGCGTGTCCATGTGCACATGCTTTCAGCGTTTGGTCTTCGTCGAAATGCCACCGCGGTGGCTGGGATTAGATTCCACGACCTTCGATTCGGCGGTCAAGCAGCGTAACCACTAATCCACCCCAACTTGTGCAAAAATAAGAGCCCGAAACAGCGAACAGAACGACCGGAAAAAAGGACAAGACAGACAGACGCTCAACTTACAAGTGATTTTTACCGGAAAATTCTCACAAGAGCACGTAATCGGCCATGCGCAGATGAACTTATCGAAAGTTTCCTAACCGGGCCAACAATACTAACAAAGTTTTTACCTTGCGATAAATTTGACTGCACATTCCCGATTCCGTGATTTCGTGAAAGAACTTTCAATATACATCAGATGTAAGCCAAACCTCTTGCCGGTAACTACCTGAGCGATCCTGCTGCTACCCACTCATACTTCTGAAATATGTTATACCAACTGTCCCAGCGCACCATGATCTAGATAACCGTAGACTTCTCGAGAAAAATTGAAGGAACCCTCTCCCCCGGCAAAAACCTCCCCCCGTCACGGCAGCGTCACATGATTAATATTAGCTACTCTCTGTAGATCTTACATGAATACGCTTGCAGTATCGTTACTAAGCAGCGACAACCAAATAAATAAATAAAAATGAATATTCTCTAATTCAGTTAAATTAACGGAACAAAAACGAAAGTAAAATCTTCAAAAAAGGTTTCAATTTTCTTTTCGACGAAGTGTCATGGTTTGTTCGCTTTTTTGGAGTGAGCACATCAGCCCGAGTTATAGTGCCACTATTTTAAAGTAGAATAGTTCACTACCACGTGTCTTAAGAAGACAACGGGAAAATCGTGGAAATGTTGGAAGCTTTGCGTTGATGTTCAGTGAAGGTGGAAAAAAACACGACATGTCGCCTTTACATTCTTTTTTGTCTCGCATTTATTTTCATATTGCTGTAGCCTGGATGGTGTTTAAAAACCACCAGAGTCATTCATATTACAATCAACAAACCATCTAGAATCTCTGATGCAGTGGAGGTCAAAGCACAACGACAAGAGCGCACGCCGCACTGCTTGATTTTCGTTCCATCATCCCTCTTAATTTCTTCAAATTGATTTAGTTTTCTCGTTCGCTACACTCAATAAAGCCACTATTTTTCAAAGGGGAAGCGGCTACTTGCTACTTTTAAGATTTCTAGATGCACAGAAAACACTTGCGTTTACAGGTGTTTCAGAATATTGCCATTGAATCTTTCTATCTTTGCTGTATTCCTGTTTTTTATAGGTCACTGTAAAAACTAGGTGTTTACTCGATTCCCCTTTTATATTCATGAACTAATAAAGAATGCAGCACATCCCACGTACCTTGGGAATTGGCGTTGTGCGAAGCATGCGAAGGGAAAGTGACCATGTTGTAATTTCATTGAGCGACACGTCTTGAAACGACACTAAATATATTCATAAATGTTGCACGCACAAACATCTGTTGAAGCGTTGCAGGCAATTATATAATAAGTTGTTTGCGCTTACACAACGATACCAACAAGAACATGAGTACTAGCAACACCAGAAGCGATAAGCCGATATGAAGCGCTGGTGCTCGCTGGTATGGTAACCCTAGACACTGCTACATAAATGAACTTCAGCATATGTCACCTAACTACAATTGACGTTAACACGACATCACCCCTGTATCATAGCGGTCATATGTAACATTTATAAAATTGGATAGCCAGCACTGCAACCACAATTCAAGTTTCGCGAACATTATGACCCGTTTGAATAAGTGGTTCCGAGGCCTTACGTGGCTCTGTGGTAGAATACCTGATTGCCGCGCAGAATGCTTGGGTTCGATTCCAGCTGGGACCCTGACATTTATTCTTTGCATTCGTCGGGTTGATGCTACCGATGTCGGGTACCAATGTTGGGTACCGATGTCTGGTATGTCTTAACGCGCGAGCGTTAAAATTGTCCATGTGTGTTCTCGTCGTTGCTGAGTAGATATATACTAAGTGCCAATCACCTGCGGCACATACCCGCATACCAGCGGCACATGCCCGTCCACGGGTATGTGCCACTGTCTGGTGGGATGTGACGACGTAAGTGACGGGATTGTGACATCTTTTATGTATTGACCAGTGGCGCGTAATTTGTTAAACCATCTTAACTTCTCATGCTACTGTTAAGGGCGTGGTTAAGAGAGCAGCCAGATGTAAGCGGCTACGCAGACAGACAGACAGGCAGACAGGCAGACAGACAGATGACAAAAGTGCTTACAGTGTGCAAAGAAATGGTTCGCATTTAATAAGAAAATTGTAACTAGCTGAGTAAAGAAACAATTGGCAATGTAAGGTGGTGGATCAACTAGTTCACCGACTTGTTGCAGTGCAAGTAACCCATTCTTATGGTTTAATGTGAGATAACTTAAACCTGCAATTCAACACGCAAGTTTCAGTAAAAGTATTGAAACTCTGATTAGAATACACCGAGTTGTCAAGTTCATCAAGCTGGTCTGAAAACGAGATTGTTACAGAGTTGCTGACCGAACAGCAATGGCGTACTGAGGTTGAGGAGAAATGCTCAGTCGATTGACAGATTGTACAATGAAAAAGCTATGGCCACTAGGATAACAAGCTGGAGGCTCAACTAGATGACTAACACTTGTGTTAAGAAGTCTGTTTTCGGTGTAGTTTCTGATCCCGTCCTCCTACGTCTTCATACTTATTTAGCAGTTTATATCACGCCCCCAGCGATAGCTCTTGTTATGACAGAAGCTAATCTCGAAGGACATGCTTTTGAATTCTGAGAACACACGAAGCAACTGCGAGAGCCCGAAGCCTGCGGCGGTCGCCACGTGTTTGACACATGCTATTGTAGGGTGCTGGCGCCGATCTAAACTTGTTGAGGCGCCAAGCGATTCCAAGTAATTCTGGCTTTAGAAGACATCAGTTTGATTGCATTTCCCCTGATTCTTCAGCTTTACAAAAAAATGAACAGTCGCACAACGTATTAAGTTTTTTAATTCATACATATGAGACTTTGGAATGTGAACCCTGTCCGGAAAGTTTTTCTTAAAACGTCAGGTCCAGTAGCAAACTCGCACTTAGATTCATCAAAGAACTTATCTAGCCCGAAAAGTTGTGCCTGGGATAAACTTTATGTAAAGAGGAGGGGACTGCATGACCAAGTGCTTTACAGGGATTGTTCAAACTTGAACAGAACCGGAATAATTAGGTGCGTCTTTAGAATGGGCAATAACGCCAAAACAATTAAGAGTAATTTTGACATCTCGACAAAGGTTAATTTTTTTTTTACCATTCAGTGATTATTTTTTCGTAGGAATGCTGGAACCAGAGTGAAGAAGCCAAAGCAAGAACCACATACGATGAGTAGCAGAATACCGCGTAGCCCGTGCTCTATCCAGTTGCGTCCATATTGAATGTAGATAAACCGCAACACTCGTGAAATGTCACGCGGCGCGTCTAGACGTTCAAGAAATGTACACAAAGAGCAACAAGAGGCAAGCTGAAGAGCACGTGTTGGTCGTTAGTGAGTGAGATTAACTGGCGAGTATGACGTCATCTTGTCGACACGGTGGGCGCTTATCAAGAGCAATCCAGGCGCGCGCCAGAAGCCGCCTATTCGCGCCGCCAGGTTTTAATCCGTTGGTCAAACAGCTTTCACTCGCCTGCGCGAACTGCTCCCGTGTTCGGCTGACGCGCCCTCAAGCCATTTGTTTACTTTTTTTAAAAGCACACCTCTTGTCAAGAAAAAGGGGGGGGGGGCGATTCTGCCGAAAATTTGCAGGAAATTAAATGCGTGGTCCGGGATGCTCATTAAGTCTGCATATTATACGTGAGTGAAATCGCAAATCGCCCTTTCTCCAGACTCGCTCGTAACCCAGTGTGTTATTTCAGTGGACGACGAAGTATAGGGCGTCTGCGAGAGTCTGAAAACTATTTCTAACCATATTCCATGCAAGGAATCGCAAGCCGCAGTACACGAGTGTACGCTTCAACAAAGAGCTCGTTATATGCGTATTCAGATCACGCGAAGTTTAGTACGATGTAATCGGAATCAACCATGGCAAGGTACGCGATGTTTAAGACGGAGGAGCTAATTAATATATGCAAATGCTCAGACAGCGCAATGCTACCTTTTAGGGATGATATTTCCCGTTAGTAGCCAGCCTACCTTATTCGTACAAGTGTCGACGCTGCTGCCATAAGGGGCTAAGATTAAAACGCACAAAGGCTGACAAGGGCATCGAACAATCCGTGACGAATCTCTCCTACAATATGGGACATAACCAGGTGGTACCCGGACGTAATGGGTACCTAAATCATAATTGAAAATTTTGTTGAAGCCCCCCTCCCCCCCCCCTTCCCCCCAAAAAAACAGATGGACAAAATAGGCTAAGAAGGATGGCGCTTGCTCTCACAACTGAAGTTTGATTAGTCAGGAAAAGAAAAAGTGGTTACATGGTCTTTCGCGCATGCGCATCAGAACAGGGTGCAACAGAAACCACTCCTATCCGGATTACAAAATCGTGCATATTATGTGTCATTTATTATATGCTGCAAGTACTAGGTGTCGAGATACGCACAAAATATAATAAATAACACATAATATGCACAATTTTGTAATCCCAATACGAGTGGTTTCTGTTGCACCCTGTTCTGATGCACATGCGTTAAAGACCATTTAACCGCTTTAAATTTTTTCTGGATAATAAAACTTCAGTTTGAGAGCAAGTGCTGTCCATGTCAGGCCTCTTCTGTCCGTCTGTTTTTTGGTGCGCTTCAACAATCTTTTCAATAATGAACGTAATCCAACTGGCTCAACTTGCCATCTTGCTGTACTTAAATAAGCATGAAATGAAAGCTTTTTGGCGTTTCAATCAAGAGGAAATGGATGTGAAGGTTTCCATAGTCGAATGCGCTACGGTTTAACAGTATTATCGCGATAAGACTGGCGCGATATTACACCGGTCATTGTTACTTGTTCTAACGTCTTGCTAGTTAACATAAAACACCGAGTGCTTATTGACAAGAAATAGCGCAAGCGAAAATTTGGCAGATACCACGTACCTGGGAATCGACTTTGTGCGAAGCGTGCAGAGGGAAGCTGACCGTGCTGCAATATTTATTTAGCGACACGTCATAAAATGACGCTAATATATGTACAAATGTTGCACGCACAGACATATGTCGAAGAGTTGCAGATGTTTATATAATCAGTCTTTTGCACTTGCACAGCGATGCCAACTGGAACATGCGCATTAGCAACACCTAAAGCTGATACGAAGCGCTGGTGCTCGCGAGGATGTTGGTCCAGGACACTGCTACATAAATCAACTTGAGCGCATGGAAACTAACCACAATTGACGTTAACCCGTCCTGACGACTGTATCAAAGGAGTACATATGTAATGTTTATAAAATTTGGTAGGTAGCACGCAACCGCTATTGACGTTTCGCAAAAATCAGCGTCAATTTAAACAGTAGTTACGAGACCTGACGTTGCTCTGTGGTAAAATGCTTCATTGCCACGGAGAATGATTGGGTTTGATTCCAGCTGGGACCCTGACATGTATTCTTTGCATGCGTCAGCTCGACGCTACCGATGTCGGATATTTCTTATCGCTAGCTGTTAAAATTGCCCATGTGTGTTCTCGTCATTCCTGGGTAGATCCTATATGTCAATCACCTTTGGTGCATACCAGCGGCACATACCCGCCCATGGGTATGTGCCACTGTCTGGTGGGAAGTGTTTGACGTTGTAAGTGACGGGATTGTAACATCATTTGTGTATTGACAAGCGCGTAATTTTTCAAACCATCATGGCTTCCCATGCTAGTTTCGGTTCACGCCAAGTTAAAGGGGGGACCACGAGAGCACCCAGACGTAAGCGGCTAGATACGCTCAAAGTCACCAGAGTTCGCGAAGAAATGCTTCACATAAAAAAACAGCAAACGAGAAAGACACACAAGGGACAAGCGCTTGTCCATTGTGTGTCTTCTTCGTGTGCCGTGTTTCATTTTGCGCTAGGTAATTCTCGTCAATATGCACCAACAAAGCCCTCGAAACGTCCTCTTAACCGAGTGCTTAAATCACGCGATAGAGAGAAAGGCTGATTATCCGGTGGACGACTGTTCTATTATCGCGAGGGGAGAGTAATCGCGATGTATCAAATCATTTAAAGCTTGACTATCAAAAACGACATGGTATCAAAGATGGGTTAAAATATTTTTGGCTCAATATGCCAAAACCACTCTGCGAAAGATTCCATGCAGACTACCTTTGAATTAATTTAGACAATCTGGGCTTTTTGGACGTGCATGTATACTGGACTACACCAGCGTTATTGCTTTGTGGTCAGCGTGGCCGAGGTTGAAGCCGGGTTCAGCAGCAAAAACTTGATAAAAATTCTTCAAAGACTGTTACATGTCACTTATTTGTGCGTTGGGGGCGAAGTGTCTACGTAATAAAACATTCTTTTTATAGCGGATAAGCGAATGCATGCGTACACAGCCACCCACACACAGTCTTGAGTTACCCAAACGACACGATGACGAAATCAAATTTACCGAAAGGAAATGTCGCGTAAAGAACGAGAGGGTAGCACTAATACAGGAAGACCCAGAATGCCTTTTCGAAAGACCCGTAATGCCTTTTCATGTTCGAGCCAAACCTTTGGCATTGTCCTTCGCTAACACGCCCCTGCACCAACTAGCCCTTCCGTTCTCAAGCGTCGTGCCATTGCCAAATTTCGAGAAAGCCACTTCACTACAGCCTTCAATTATCTTAGTACAGTCGGTCAGACAAATAAAACAAAATTTTGTTCATTTCACACATTGGTTGCCGGCAGCTATCAACAGCTAATGAGCGACGCTACGACACACAAGCGGGCACTAAAACACAGTCAAGTAAATGACCAAAAATACGAAGCAATCAAAGGTGAAAAACGAACCGGTCTTCCAACGACGTGGTTCGGGGTATCCGCCGAGTTCACGTCGCAGCTCGAACCACACGAAAGTAAATCCAGAGTCGGGGTTTGCAGGACACGTTGGCTACGCTGCTGCACGCGACACGCCTACCCTCTTGGCCCCTGGGGACCGTCTCACAACAATGAAGTAGCAAGCACGGGTCAGCCAACGGAACTGGCGCTGTACACCGAGCGCCTGCAGCGGTGTCCAGCGGCGATGCTGTTGTCTTCTCTTTCCGGCCTGGCTTGCCAGGCGAAGCCGTGTCGTGCCGAGATCGCTGCCCAGCGTGCGTGCCTGGGGCAAGCGAGTTTTTTTGTCGTGCCTGGCACCTACGGTGGCTGCCATGGCGACTCATTGATTGCGGCCGCTAAAAACGAGCGCTCATTCGGGAGTCGGTCGGCGATCGTCGTCGGATGAATGCCATGTGCGTTTGGCCGTGAGGGTGATGGGCCACCCGCTGTTTTACAAAACGCCACCCTTACACCTACCGAGGCCTGTTTGGTACGCTGTAAACGGCAGGGCAGAAAGCGGCACTGGGAGGAGCAGCGGGCGTGGACGGTCGATGTGGCCTTTCCCGTATTTGTCAGGTGGACGTGAACTGGAGGATGTAGAAGTGGCCGCCCGGGCCATAGACGATAAAAGTGGAACAGAAGAAACCATGGCCCGAATTTCGTGTTGTGCGCGGTGATCCCCGCAAGCGTCGACAATTTATAGATTGTTTTTGTTTTCACTGCTGCTGACATTTATCAGCTGACAGTGAAAAATAAAAATAAAACAATCTCTGGTGACGGACTAAGTGGTGTTTCTGTATAACTTTTTACGTTTATTCATTTGCTTCGTTGATTTTCAAGAAGTGGCGAATTTCATTTAATTGTCCGGGAAGCGCCATTAGGCATCATAACGTCATTCTTATTATCTGACTTTTGTGGCGTTCACAAATATTGTCTCTCGATTTGACTTAATTTCGGTGGAGTACTGAGTAGCGTGACGTTTGTCCAGCATGGCCACTCTAAATTAGAGTTGGCTTAAGATTTTCATAATTCGGTGACAATATCGGGATGCTGGGCACGCAACCTCAGCAGCAAGCTCTTTGCCAGTTCGACTGCTGTATTACGAGCAACCGTTTTGTGACAGATTGGCAACGTATAAAGTATACGTGCTAACATGCTTCAAAGGCCTCACAACAACCTTCACATTAATAACGTCCCAGCTAATGGCAGGCAAAAGTTATTTGTGTTTCTTACATCAGAACTTTTATGGTCGAGGTTTCAACCATAAAACATGTGTCGTAGATACGAAATTTTCACTACGAACCAGCACGTGCTCAGTTCATTCCCAGACACCACGTACAAATAGATGGACAACAAGATAAGCCGAAACGTGCGGCCCCAAGTCGGTTTTGACCGCCCGTGTGTTCCCTTGTGGTTATTTAGTGGACCATTGTGGTGAATAGTGTGGTTCGCCCAACTTCCGTTTCTCATACGTGCTATAGAAGAAAGACAATATGCACTAAATTTTATTGTAAGAATCCGGCGGCTTCAGTGGAACGGGTCGCACGCCTATAGGCGTAATCTAAGACGCCTTGGGCCCTGCCGACGTCATTGGCCAAATGGAGTGCGCAGAGTTGTTCCTCTGGTTGTGTAGAAGTTTTACAGCCGATCTGTTACGGTCGATGTTTGACTTGTGTCATAGATATAATGTAAAATTATTATAATCATGAACCACTACGTGCTCTCTTCATGCTGTGCTTCTTCGCCTCCTTCTCACTATTGAGCTTCGCTCCCAGAACATATGCGCCGATTTGATGCAATAATATTTATAAATAACAGAACTAGCACACACACACACACACACACACACGCACGCACACACACACACGCACACACACACACACACACGCACACGCACACACACACGCACGCACACACACACACACACACGCACGCGCACACACACACACGCACACACACACACACACACACACACACACACACACACACACACACGGACACACACGCACACACAAGTAGAGAGAGAGAGAGAAATTAAGATAACGAAAAAAAAACTCGACGGCAAAAAGCACTTGGCGACGCAGGACTAGAAGCCAAACACGCAGGAACACTTGTACAAACCCGCCCCGCCGCGGTGGTCTAGTGGCTAAGGTACTCGGCTGCTGACCCGCAGGTCGCGGGTTCAAATCCCGGCTGCGGCGGCTGCATTTCCGATGGAGGCGGAAATGTCGAGGCCCGTGTGCTCAGATTTGGGTGCACGTTAAAGAACCCCAGGTAGTCAAAATTTCCGGAGCCCTCCACTACGGCGTCTCTCATAATCATATGGTGGATTTGGGACGTTAAACCTCACAAATCAAACACTTGTACAAACGTTTCTAGATGATCGGCTAGCTAGGTAAGCAAGCAGAGAATAGCACAGGTTTGAATAGTATTGCCACGCGCGTTTTATATTTTCACTTTTGATTCATTCGGTTTTCTCCCGCAAAGCCTGTGAGTAATGCTCCACGCAAACTGCGCCTCATTGTTCGAGAAGATTCACGATCATTGTAATTGTTCTGTTGAGACTGTGAGCAAGACGCAAATGACCGAGATTATTCCAGAGCTTGCACGACGATCAGTGATGACTGGAATATTTGATGGCACATGTATAAATGCCGACGCGCTTCGCCGCTTGTCAGTTGATCGACGGCCGACGCTCAGGTCACCGCTATCAGTGGCAGTGCCTTGCTCTAATCTGACTTTCTTCTTACGTGGCCACAAGCTCGGCCCAATAAACAGTTTAACCTGAACACCCAGTCTGCTCCCTTCGTCCGCGTCACGACACCATGACAGTATAACAGAGTGGAAGGGACGGTGATGATGACGTAGCGTATATCCTTAGAATTTCAAAATTATTCAGTATGCGTATCACAGATCGTGGACTTCTTCAATTCCTTTTGAACTACGTTTCATCTATTGTTACGTTAAGTTGAATCAAACCAAAAACTCATGAGCGAGTACGCTGTCATCTATATTGCTCCATCGACTGTACACTGCAGGATTACCCGAAGCAATACGCGTCTCCTGATGAATTCTTAGTCAGCTGTGACACTGCTGCAGAAAGAGCACTAAGTTGTCAGTTATGAATGCTTTTCGATTTCGGCGCTGTGCCGACTGAGATATTGCATTGGAGACCTTTCACGAACGTGGGTGGTGACTTAAACTCCCCAATACTATCATTCGTAAAAGCGTTTCGTTGTTAAAAATAACAACTATACAGAAGAGATTTGACATGCTACAAAAAAAGTAGAGATAGTCTAAAATAACTATACGAACCCCCGCCCCCGCCCTTTCCCTTAAGTGGAAGGAAAACGCAAATGTCACAGTGTAAATTTACGCTGAAAAATTTGAACTTTGTAAAAAGAAGGTTCCCTGAATGCGTCTTATACAGGCTCCAAGCTAAATTCGTTTCAAAACATACTCTATAAATCACGTTCCAATTCATTGTATTTTCGAATCACCTCGTGCGCGTCGGCGTTATGAATATGTGAACAGGATCCACTCGCAGACTAAATGTGAAATTAAGTGAGCTGAGGATCAATTTTATGAATTAATTTTTTCCACTCTCCTTATCAATCCAATGATCTGCAAAAAACAACAAAACAATGAAAGGGTCAGGTACGTCACACGTATACTTTAATTAAGTCCTACATGAACGAAATAGTTATATTTTGTGGTATTATAACGATTAATTGAGCGGTAGTGCTAAGGTGAGACTTGAACTCAAAACTACCAATTCTACGTTTGCCTACGTAATTCATTCGCTCGCTATCAACTTGCTGACAGCCATCGCCACACATGGCGTTTTTTTTCAACATCTATTTCTTCGACAACATCTTCAAGTCTAAAATTTTCGTGTTGATTAAGGTTTGTCGCCTAACGATTAGCGAAACGCCGTTTCATAGGAAACTAGCGTGGCCCACGTCACCGTGTTGTTATTATAGCGCTTTCTTTATATATTCGGGATCTAAGCCCGGCCGCGGTGACCACATTTTTGATGGAGGAGAAAGTGTTTGAGGCCCCTGTGCTTGGATTTAGGTGCACGTAAAAAAACCCAGCTGGTCGAAATTTCCGGAGCCCCCACTACGGTGTCTCTCATAATTATATAAGGGTTCGGAGAAGTTAAGTAATAATAATAATAATAATAATAATAATAATAATAATAATAATAATAATAATAATAATAATAATAATAATAATAATAATAATAATAATAATAATAATAATAATAATAATAATAATAATAATAATAATAATCTTATTTATTGTATTACCCATCATTGAATCACCTTAGATGACTTATAATCGGAGGTATGACGTTAAAATGACGAAGTAGCTTATATAGCGTTAAAGAACAAAAATAGAGTATACGACGCCATGGTCCGAAAGGAATTTAGGTGAATGAAATACAATCAATGTGCGTAAAAAAAAAAAGTACATAAATACCATTCTCCGGAGTCTTCATTGATTTTCGATATTCTAGGCTCTGTCAACGTGTTGCTTGACGAAAGTATGCATACGTAATCGATCGTTCACATAGCGTGCGAGCTGGCCCGACAGGCCTAACGCCATAGGTGTTGGGTCAATAGTCAAAACCACAGGATAGGATAAATACTGCTATACCGGCATGTTGTTGGTCGCATACTTACCATGCCGCTTGATACGGTGTTCGCCTTTCAGTTACGCTTGTAGTATGAGGCAACAGCATAGAAATTTGGCGCCGGACTTATAAAAGGGTTACGTGACCTTTAGGGGCGAAGCTCCTTAAAGCGGCACTTGTTCATCCCTCGTCGTAGTCGTAGTGCGTAACCAGTCCTATGCTTTGACCTACCTGCAAGGTGGTGCCGGTGGGAGATTTCTACTGTGCGTTGTTGAACAATAAAAAATTCACAGCGTGCGCGTTAACTAAAAGCCGAATTATCCTGTCTCTCATTCCCCGTTAGCAGCCATTGGCATGTACATTGAGCACTATCTGACAAGAAAGGGTTGCTAGGTTATACTCGCTGGGCATAACCTCCTTGATTTTAGAGAGGTTTAGCGAACGTTGGGCCACAGTGCCATGAGTACAGTG